CCGGTCGCATCGAGGATACTATAGCTGAAGAGAGCGGGTCTGAAAGTGGTGGTTCAGAGGCTTCCTGTATTGTAGTGGGTTGAACTGGTTGCAATATATGGTGTTGAAGAAGATGGGTGGGTTTTTGGGTGTGGTCTGCCAAGTGTTCCGAAAGTGGGGTGTTCCAAAAGGGGGGGGTTCGACTTAGCATACCAATTTGGCCATGTCCATACCTCGTCCCTGTGATTAACCCGAGTACCACCTGAATAGAGAACATTAATGAGAAGGATACGCACTGAAAGATAGTGTCACCATGACTTTTAAGCCCCAGAGGCTGCGTCTTGCCACAGGCTGTTGTAACGATGGCTGATGTGGATGGCGATATGCCCGTTTACAGGACCGCACTCTGACTCCAGAGGCCCAGGAGCAGTGGCTTTAGATTGCTTCGCGTGTCTCTGGGAAACAGATCCCTAACTGGTATTGAGTAAGGCATATTCCTTGAAGGTCCCAAGGCTTGGAATCTATAGGTAACTTTAGCACGGCATGGTGGGGCCCAAAAGCAATGGCAAGAGATTAACAGCCCCGGTCCTTTACATCACTGCAGGAGCGCCGCCAACGGGATTCATTCTTCAGATAGAGCGAGTTTAGGTGAAGATGCCTTTTTTTTTGAACGGGGTTCTCTCGCATGTCCGCTGTTTTTCGAGAGATGAGGTGAGATACTTATCGGAAGACAAAAGGGGTCAGGCTGGACTGATACATGTAATTACAATACAACGGTGTATGCATCGCTCGCACATATGAAGCCAAAAATTAGGTCTCAATCTCAACCAATCAAAACTAGCCTGCCCGGCTAGCTCAATCGGTAGAGCGTGAGACTCTTACGAGAGTGTCCAATCTCAAGGTTGTGGGTTCGACCCCCACGTCGGGCTCAATTCCCGGCAGCGATTGCCTGTGTTTTTTTAGTTTTCTCTTTAAACATTGGATGGATTAACCCTCATTTGATACCAGATTAAATCTCAGTAATCCCCAAAAAGTATTCCCAGATTTTTTACGCGCCGCTGATGTGGTGGGAGTTAATCTTAGTTGGTGTCAAGCCTTTCAAGAATTCGTCCGTCTCCACGTCTTTTAAGTTTTAACCATGTTCTTTTGTGCACTGTTATGGAATGACCCTGGAGACCGGACCAATGGTGTTTTGTGTGGTTGCTTGAAGTTTGGGAAGAATGGTGATACTCCGTAACGGCCGTCTGCTACGTTTTGAGATGCACTTTTGACGAGGCCGTGACGAGCGCAGGACGCGTGCTGCTTCTCCGTGATGATGCATGAAGGTACGGATTTCGGTAGTGTGGAAAGCGAGAAGTCGCTCCTTAACACCATCGTCCCTCTTATTAACAGATTAATTGAACTTTACGGACCGAGACCGTCCATCCGGATGTACCAACATCGTCCAGTCGGGTGTGTGAGAGAATCAAGAGCATTCAAGGTGACCGAACACGGAGCTTAAACATGAGGCCAAAATGAAATCCAATCCACATCCCGATACACATCTGTCGGCATAGACCTAAACGCCGCAAAGATCTCCACAAAAATAACCAACCTCGCCAGAATATATAACACATACGCCGTGTCTACGGCCACGCTGAACACCCACCGACGCACAAACGTCTGCCTCTTCGCTTCCCGCACCCAAATCCACAACATACCAAACGAAAAATCAAACCACGGCCGAGTCGATAGCACCGGGACTAGTCCATCTACTGCCATCACCGTCAGCAAGATAACACTGCTCCCTCGCCACAGCAACGTCTCCGTCTGGCTGGGAAACGGAAACGACCAGCACAGCACATGAATCACCGCGTGCACGACAGACACCACCCACACAATAGTCGCCTCGGTCCCCGTCGGCGGTGGCAGGCCATAATCGTTCGGAATCCGTGGCAGCGGACGTCGGTTCAGTCCACCGTAATGCAGCAGCGATGGCAGGCGGCGACAGCCGTCCCATACTGGCTTCTCGATGAAATCGAGCGGGGTGTCGACATACGGTTCACGCGCGGCGTCGCCCGCGAATAGGAGCAGGTCGGCGATAGTCCAGGGGACGGTGATGATGGTGGGTTCGGTGACGCGTTGGGGTTTGCTGGCCCAGAAGGAGGTTGCGAGGGAGGAAACGATGAGCACGGCAGTCAAGACTTCGTGAAATTGGAGGAACCCGCCGGCGTGGGCGTAAAATGCGTGGAATTTGGTTCACTCCGCAGGACCAACCGCAAACAATGCTGGCATCTAAGTAGGTAGACGCCGGCGGATTTACAGCTGCAGCTCGCCGATAACAGGCCGCCAGATCATGGAGACTGCGGCACAAATCGTAAGAAGGGATTGGAAGATAACTACGGGAAGGCCGACCCATGTGCTCTCGCAAAGGCGCAGCTTGTTGCTGTAAATGGCCACCTTGAAAAAGTGGTAAAGCAGCAGTAGTGGGCTTTCCACGACGCCGCCCATGAGCCAGCCCGGCATGGCAAAGTTTTCTTCTCCGCCTTGGATGTACCGGATTAAGCCGTGCTGGATGACGGCCGACGTTGTGTCTGTGAATGCTTTATTAGATTGTCGACAACGGTCACGACTCACCATCGGAGAAGGGCTAGCAAAGCATAGGAGGGACTAACCGTCTGCAACAAACACAGCATACATCCCTTCGGCCACAATATTCAGCGGCGCGCTATGTCGCTTCCTTTTCCAGTGAAACTTGCCCACCGCGTTCGTGACCGCATTTGTATCTCCCAGCGACGCAACTCGGCTGGGATCAAGTAATTCCGTAAGCAACACCGCATCCTTTAAGGCAACGGTCATCCCAGCACCGGTAGCCGGATGCCGCATGTTGGCCGAGTCCCCCAGCATAATCAACCCTGGTGCCTTGGTGCGTGTTGAGGGCAGCCAGGAGTTGGGCATGCTGCGCAGACGGCCGGTCTCAATCGCCTTTGTGAGGCTGGCCTGCATGCAGGCTGGGACGGTTGGAATGACGCGCTCGCGGAGGTAGGCCCGAACGGCATCGGTCGAGCCAAGTCTTCGGTATGCCGTGTTGGGGATGTCGATAAACATCCGGATTTTGTGTGGGCCGATTTGGTACATAAAGATTGGCAGACCGTGGCCGAGAATTCCGTGGGCGTAGTTAGGCTTGGGGAGACTGGCCTCAAGTTCTAAGCCCCAAAACCGCGAGTGAGATTGTGGTCGCAGATGGGTGAACTGGGCGCGGAAGTTGGACGCGGATCCGTCCGAGAGAATGGTTAAGGAGGCGCGATACTACTCCCAATGCCCGGCATGTCAGAACAAGCAGTGATGATTAGCGCACCGCACCGCGATGAAATTGTCTTACCTCTGTTGATGAACCCCCCTCCCGTGAACCAACTGCCCCGACAATACCACCCGTCCTCTCGTCCCGGAGCAATTCCACTGCAGTGGCCTGTAAAAGCGTGACATTGGGTTCCCGCGCGACAGCCGCCCGCAGCTTGGTGACAAATTTTCCATGATGAAAGCTGCGTCCGGTCGGTTTCACAGCCGGCCCCCCATCGCCCGAAGACAGAGGACAGAACCAGAAACTGGCCTGCTCCCCTGTCCAGTGGAAATGGTAGCCCTCCATTGGCGTAGCACCGATGCCCTCCACGCAGTCGTCCAGGCCGAGTTTAGACAATGCCGCAATACCCCCCGGCTGTAAGATTTCGCCCGCAATCCGGTCGGGCTCGCGAAGGCTGCGCTCGAGGACAACAACGCGTCGTCCTTGTTTCGCCAAACCTGTTGCTATGGCACAGCCCGCGATGCCGGCACCAATGATTAGGACGTCGTATGTACTATTCATGATGCATTAAGTAAGAGTCGTGACTTAGAGCACGAACGATGAAGAGCTTGTCATTGGGGAAGAAAAAAAAAGGAATATACGAGCGAAGCGGCGAAGATACATAAATACCCAGCGCGCGGCCGTGGAAAAGTTTGTCTCATGTTGGTTGGGACATGTTTCTCGTGACCCTGGCTAGGTCCGTCACAAGCGCCGGCTTCGCGCCAACAACCAGCGATCGTCTTGCCGCCCCGCGGCCCCGGCTCCTGCGCCCTTGGGGTTCCGGGTGACCGGGTTGGTTTATTTGTTAAGGTAAATTGGTAATGAAATCTTTGTCGCTACGGTGTCAATCTCCGCGACAATCAATTGGTTGCGATGGGATAAAATTGCGCTCTGCACCGTGGCTGAGTCAAAACTCCGCTTCTGGGCCGATGTCTCAATCGAGCATGATGCCATGTTTTTTGTCTTAGACGCACAGCAACTACATAATTAGTATTCGTACTATGTGAATCTTCCTGAAACTTCGCTGCGGTATGCTCCACTTCGATCGTGAAAATTGTACAGCGGTACACTACTATGTATATTTTACCCTTAATTAGATCTGTGTCCTGGCTGGGACAAACCGAGCTTTCTTAACCTTGATGAGTGAGTGGCCTAATGTAATTAGTGTGTTCTATGACTCTCTCTCCATCTTGCGGCCTGACCCTAGTCCATAACCGTATCAACTGTGCACAAGATGATCCGAGACGTGAGAATTTAGCCGTGTTCGAAAAGGATGGAACGGCTCAGGAGACGTCAATGACCAGCGTCAGCCGCGCGTAATAATGGGTCTCATAGTCATACGATCTTGGTTGCCTGGAAATGCCAAGGCAGCACGTTCGCGGTCGTAACTCAATCAGGCAGTTCATCAACGACTCGCAACGAGCCTGCAAAGGTGTTGAAATAAACTTTTAACCCCGACGCCCATTTCACCTCTAAGCCCACAAACCAAACTCGCACCAACTTACCAATAATTACAACATCAATTCCCGATAATTCCTTCACCGGCCCAACCCAGACAATGCCCTCACCAGCCACAGCCCACCTCCTCCACACCACCACCCAAGACCTCATCGCCGGCGTCATCATCGGCTCCGCCCTCGGCGACGCCATCGGCCTCTACACCGAATTCATGCCCGCCTCCCTCGCAGCGACCGCCTACCCTTCGCGTTCCTTCACTCTAACCGGGACCCCCACCAACCCAATCCCCACTCCTTTCCACTTCGACACTCACCGCGCCCCTTTCCAACCCGGTCGCTGGACAGACGACACCGACCATGCGCTTCTCATCTTGCTCGCTTTTCTCCATACTGCGCGGACACCCACCCCTGATGAACCCGCTAGCTCACTACCCCTCCCGACACAGCAGGAACTGGCCAAGCGCCTCCGGGTATGGACATCGCAAGGGTTCAAACCCCTCGGCACGATGCCCCTTGGCCTAGGCCGGTTAGTCGGGTCAGTGGTATCCTCAGCCGGATTTGACAGCGACCCGGAGAGCGTAGCAAGGGGGTATTGGGAGCGGACGGGCAAACGGGTCGCGCCGAATGGGAGTTTGATGAGGACTTGGCCGGTGGGTGTGTTTTGTGCGTTTCGGGGGGGGTTTCCTTGGGACGGGGATAGTGAGATTCCCGGCCAGGGGGGAGAAGGGGGCAGTGGGGGAGAAGCAGAAGCTTTCGAAGCGGCTGCCACGCTGTCTCGGGTTACGCATGTCGACCCACGGTGTGTTCTTGCCTGCGTGATTGGTACCGGTCTTGTTCGGGGTTTGCTCCGCGGGGAAATTGCCGTTGAATCTGATATCGACGCGCTCATCAAGCGGGCACTGAACTGGTACTCCCGACAGCATGGTAGTCGGGGTAAGGAAGGAGACGAAGAGCCTAACGCCAAAAGCAAACCCGAAGACGAAAACGACCAAAAAATCGACGAACCCGAACTCTGGAAGCACATCTCCTCCTCCACCACCTTATCCCAACTCCACCTCGACGACCAACCCACCATCGGCTACGTCTACAAAACCCTCGGCGCCGGCGTCACCATGCTCCGCCTCGCCATGCGCACAGTCAACGACACCAAAGCCGCCAAACTCACGCGAACCAAACTCTTCGAAGAGTTCATTACGGACCTGACATTCCACGGCGGCGACGCCGACACCAACGCCTGTTTCGCCGGCGCTTTGCTAGGCAGCTATCTCGGCTACGGCGCCTTGCCCGACCACTGGAAACACGGTCTCCTACACGAAGAGTGGTTGTTGCAGAAATCGGACGCGTTGTGTCGGGTGCTGGGGGTTCAGAAGGGGGAGTATGATGGGTCGAAGGATGCAGACGCGGAGCCGGAGGGAGGCAAACCGGTGATTAGCCAGCAGGAGATGGAGGGGAGGTGGATGGTGTTGCAGCAGGAGGCGTTTCGGAAGATGGAGGAGACTGCGAAGAGGGGGGTGACGAAGGCTGGCGGGGGGAGTTGGTGGCAGAAGGCTGTTGGGAGGGGATAATCAAATTCGGGAGAAGATGTGTTTCACCAAATCTGTATTAGTTACTGCGAATGGTATTGGCGAGGACCGCAGAGAAATGTCGCTCACGGAATCTGGTCAAATATTAACTCCGGCGGACTAAGATTACCGGCAAAAGCAACGTGCCCAACGCAGAATCTACGGCGGTGAAGGCATTCACAGTTTCGCACTAGTTAACCGCCCCGGTGAGCGGCGCCGGTCTTCAGCGGGGCGAGGATCGGCGAGTACACTCAGCTGGGACCCGAAACATGGGATCCTGCCGGGTCCCGTCTCGGTCTGGCTAATCTTTCACCGTGACCAGGTGACGGGGCAGGCGGTGGGGTTTAATTAGGGCGGCGACGAGACGGGAGTGATAATTACGTATTTACCACACGTCTGACGGATGGGTATAAGTTCCGTAAGACAACCCTTGATACTTGGACCCTGGTCCATTCTCCGCCGGGTGATAGATTGGTAATCATGCCAGCGTCCGCTATCTTTCGTTTGATTCTGTACTGACCACCATACTGCTGTAGGCTTCCGATATTGAAGGCCCGTTTTAAATCGACCAAGAGGCTCCGAAGCGACTAGGTACAGCGGCGCCTAAAAGTATAAAACGGGCCAGCAATCCCGATACCAGGGTCCTACGCATGGTCATGCACAAGGCCGCAGACAGCCAGGCTAGGGCGCTCAACCTCGTCCGTGAGACGGCTGCCGGCGCGGTAATTACAGTCCAAAACTGTGGGCTGGACGGGGAATGGTATTCTTCTCGGCCTTTTACGGGGAATACTTACCGCCGGGTTGGGAACTCGATGTGCCGTTCGTATAGCGTTTGGGTATCTATCCTACACTTTCGGGTTGGGTCAGGATCCGGCGAACGATTTTTACTTGGGTCAATTATTGGAATAGGTAGGGAACGAGTCTAGCGCAGGTGTAGGCGCCGTGACGGTTGTTTATTGGTCTTCGAATGGAGATCCTATAAACAGGAATGTGAAGTAATTTGGATACCTCGGCATCGTACTGCTCACAGTGAAATTTCTCTGCGATAACAGCCGCAGTGGAGTGGCTCGCCTTGGAGACTGTCCATGAAGAACAAAAAAAGGTTGAACTCAGCCTGATGACCGCTCTGTCAGCTTGGTTCAGCCAGGCAAGATCCTGATCGGCCCAACCGCCTGCATTGTAGTTGAGGCCTAATATTCTAACTAATTCGTGTCAGGTAACGTTAGCTACGTACTGTACCAGATGGGAGCGACGTCCAGATGTGCGGTGGTAACTGCTTTCACGGCAACAGCGAGAGACACTGATCTTACGTAGGGCAAAGATCGTCGAGTCCGCTCAGCTGAAACCCAACACGTGGCATCTCGCTGGGGGAACGTTAGGTCTCGATCTCACAGCGTGATGGCAAATTCACCGTCACGGTGTGACCGGGCGGAGAGTGACGGTGAGAGTGATGAGATGTATCTCGGCGATAGGCACAACTGAAAGGTTGTCGGGCGGGGGGGCGGCGGGGATGATAGCAAGATTGCGGTTCTTTGTTTAGGTTGAAACTAATAGGTACAAAACACCAGCTATCGCCGTTGCATCTTCTCACTGCTTCACCATCTCACTTCAACCTGAAACGAGAAACAACAAGCGTTTATTCACCGAACCGTTCAGGAAATATAATTAACCACAACAATGAGACTCTGCCTCCTCGCTACTCTCCTCGCAGCCTTGGCTGTAGATGCCCTGCCGACGACATCCACTGATGCTGCCATTGATGCCGCTACCGACAACGCCAACAACAGTATGCTCAACGTCGTTGTATTCACCAAAGATGCACCGAAGCTAGTCCGCTATATGGACTAACGGCGCTGGGATCCCGTCAATTGACCTCATCCCTAAGGATACCGCTGTTATACCGGCACCGATAGACCGGGAGACAGGTCGGTTCACGGACGGATATAAGTTCCGGCAGACCGCCCCGGATATCTGGACAGTGGTGCATTGCCCGGTCCACGATAGAATGGTGCCTATGTTACTACTCGTTGGGTCAGCGTGAGACCTACTAGATATCTTTTCTTCTACGTACCCACTTTCATTGTTTCCATGTTCTCGTATGTTGACCGTTTTGATAACCTAGCGTACCGATATCCTCGGTCGGTTTGGAATCGATACCCACGATTCTATACTACCAGATATCCGGCCAACCAAAGGCGGCAAACCAACGGGGAAGCATTCCAAGGTCCTACATGTGGTCGTACGCGTAGACCCACACCGCTTGGGTCAGACGCTCAACCTCGTCGGCGACTCGCTTGCGAATGTCTTGGAGGACAACTCATATCTGAGGGTGACGCTCCTTTCCTACGGTGTTCTCTAACGTGTCGGGGAATTGCTTAGGACGACTAACTTAGGCTCTATTCCCGGAGTCGGTAACTTTCTACAAAGAATCTCGCCGGCGTTTCCGTCCCTCGGTATCGCACTTTTGAACCCAGAAAATTTTTACCATGTGTCAGGTGGCTTGGTTGCTTGTACTATTAATTAGACTTACACGTGGTGCCGGCATCTTTGTATCTAACGGTGGTCCTGTGAAGACGAATATCACTTGATTTAGCTACCTCAGCATCGTAATAGCTATAATTACATAATGAAAACATCGTCCTTGCCAATAATTGCAAGAGAACGGTTTGTTTTCGAGGCAACTGACAATCCACAAAGACTCGAAAAAGCGACCGGTGAATAATCCGTCCGCGGGTTATGCGCCGTGAACTCGAACTCGGCCCGAAGATAATTAGCCCTGTCAGTTCGTTCGGACTGGTGAGATATTACACCCGACCACCTGCATTGTGGCCGAGGCCTAAGATCACTCTTACAGAAGCTACTGTGTCCTTCAGTGGCGGATTAGGAGCTGCCGTTGGTCTGGAAAACCTGGAACAAAACACCAAACGGGTGATTTTAGGGTAAACGTGTAGGAGCCCGGACGTTACGGGCATCATTTGGCCTCTCAATCGCCAAGGCGCTTAATTATTCCATCCTGTCTAGGCGCACATTGTGGACTGTCGAGGTCCTGGTACTACACTGTTGTTTTGCAGCGGCCGAGGCGAAGGCCATAGGTTTCATACATAAGGACATGGAAAGCGGGGTGCTTGATCTTGCTGCTGGTGACGATGATGAGGGTCGATCACTTCCAATCATAATTGACATCATATTACTAACGAAACTTGTAAGTGCCCTAACATCTTAGCTATACCGTTCATTGAGTATGATAGGAGTCATACAGGGGTATAACAGAGAAATACCTAGTTAGTTCATTAATGTAGGTCAGGAAAAGTTCAATACACTCTACAACCGATTGGTTAGAGGGAGCGATACAATATAATGATGTTATTCCAGGCCCACTACTACTGTGTTCGGTCATTTGTGACGGACCTGTGGCGTACTGGGAAGAATCGTAACGCCAGGGAAAGCCCAAGCCTCGCCTGGGTATTCATCGATTTACCTGGCCGAGCGAGCTATCCCAATCTAGGTGGAAGCGAACGACATTAATTCCGTCTCACTTCTCACCCTTTCCACCGTTGTCATCAAAAGCACAGCCGAACTCGTCACGAACAGAAAAACAAAAGAAATCAAAGAAATCAAAGAGAGTCGGAGATTTAAGCCCATCATAGACATATCAGTCTCATGCCCTGTGCTGTAGACACTTCCACTTGAATAATTACCTCCAAAAGCTGGGCACCCAATTCCGAAACCTCTCCAACAGCGCCACCACCTTCTCTCAGAACCACGACAACGCCCTCTTCAACATCCCAAACACATACCCCCAAAGAACAAAATACACCGCCGCAGCCACGCCAGCCCCAAGCAACACCGCGCCTCCAACGCACGCCACTGCTGTTCCTGCGGTCGTTACATCCCCCGTCACAGCCGCCATCCCGGCCCCGGCCTTCACCGACAACGCGCCCCACGCAAAATTGACAGACGCCCCGGCAGCCATGGCATGGACTGCACCGGCGTACACCGCAGCAGCAGCACGGCCCCAGCGCCGGCTAGCAAGCCCAGAATTCCGGCTAACGGGCCCCGCCAGTTCTTCCACCACCCGCCATCATCGTGGTCTCGAGCGCCGTGCATATCGGTGTTTTCCATAGCGGCAAAATGGCCGCTTAACGAGGCCTTGTTCGTTTCGCTCATCATAGAGGAAAGCGATTTACTCTCGGCGGTGAACCGATTCCAGGATCCATGCGTAGTATCCACGGCGATGCTAACGCCGAGGTGCAGCCAGACCTCGGGTGGGGGCCTACGGCTGCTGTGGCTCATACGGGGCTTGGCCTCCCACTCGTCGAGGCACACATTCCGGAAGGTGGAGGCGCCGTTGATGATCAGGTCGTTTTGGGCGTTTGGGCCGAAGCCACAGCGATGGAGGTGGAGTTGGCGAGTTTTGCGCGTGAGGAAACGGAAGGCCAGGTGCTCGATCAGTCGATCTCGCTGCTGGCCAGGATGCTGATCGGGCGAGGCGGGCGGCCATGGCTGCGGTTCTCTGCGGTTTCTATGGTGTTTTGGAGGAGGGCATCCGTTGTTATGACGATTTCACTTTTGCTTTCTGGGGAATCGACGGGACGTCCATGGTTAGTTAGGCTGGCGACTCGAAGGGCCCCGTTTGAAGGCGTGCGGAGACAAGAGGAAATCATACAGGCCGAAGGCTATGGCGAAGAACTTCAGAGGCAAAGGAAGAAGAAATAAGAAGAAAGTTCGAACGACGGGGAAAAAAAGAACATGCTTCCGCTGTTGGTCAATGGCTTGTACGATGACCTGACCTTAGGTACGCGGTCTTCCAGTGCCTCGACAGTCCCTTTGTGGATAAATGCAATGAGAAGGTTATCGATGGGTTCTTGTTGTTTCTTGAGTACGCTCACCATGGCTTTGGCCTCGTCTCGCTCCTTCGCCGGTAGCTTACGGTGACCAGAAACGTGGCATCTCAGACTCGACCCGGTCGAGTAAAAAGAGTCGTTACCGGACCAGTACTACGACATTGTACTAGAATGCGAGTGTGAAATCGAGCTCTGGCCGTGTCCAGGGTTGAATAGTCAAAGTTGATTAACTTCTGGTATAAATAGAAAAGGTAAAAAGGGGAGTGATATCAAGGGAGATGACTCTTAGACAGTTAGGGTGGTGATAGGGAAGCACTTGAAAATGGGAGGAAGGTAGGACGAGAAAGGAAACACAGAAGAAGAAACGAGAGCTGGCATTGATGTGAGCGGTACAGGGTGAAATATACGGATTTCATTCCGTGAGCTTAACTCTTCATTCTGCCAGCTTCCTTCCGGCCCCAATGTAAACACACTTACTGATCGGTGGGTAACCTTAGACGGCTTAGATTCCTTGTTATAGTCAGACCTCATCATACTGTGCGCTTCTATCTGCGGTGTCGTAAAGACTGGCCAATCGTGTGTAGGGGCACTTTCCTGAACTTGTCCCTGGCTTCCAGTGCACATTGGCTTGTCGGGCAGGCATACAGTCTAGAAACGATTTAGCAAGCATAACTTCACTACATTCTCTGCCGGTCCCCAGTTTCCAAAGATAATCTGCAGTTCACCAGCTCATTTTCTGTAGCATCATGCGTGTTTGTGCCTATTTCGTCCAAGTTTCCCGTTCACCGACTCTTTGTCCTACACGCCACATGACGAGTGTCGTCCAATCGCGAGCAACAGACTTTACGACTGCATCTTCCAATGACAATGCCGGACTACCTCCCCGCAACAATCGTAAACCATACATCCACCACGATGAAAGGGCTTCTCGGGTCCAAGCCGACCGGTTGGGCCCTGGCCGATAAATGCTGACCACCTAGGTAGTTGAAGCTCAAGAACGCAGCATCAATGGAGTCTGTTCTCTTCACAGAACATAATACACGACTTTATTCTTCGTTCAGTCAAGATCGACAGGCCAGCGCGGTCACCATGGCCCCTGGAACCGATGACCATCAGCCCACCGCCGTACATGAGCGGCTTCGGGGAAAGAGAGCCACCATGGTGGCCAAGTTGTCGCCCGCGCAATGGAAAACGCAACGGCCCAGGATCCACGTACTGTACAAGGTTGAGGGATAGTCGTTGCTATAGGTCGCGGACATTATTAGTGGAGTTCATAGATTTGACGCCTCGTACATGTTGTACTGCATCGTCTTGCGTGACCTGCATGAAGAAGGTGAGACGCGAGCTGACTGTTCCGTCCCACGACCGGAAAATTAGGGAGTCCATGTACAAGGCAAAGCCTAAATAATGGGGCACAATGTTTCAGAGGAATAACGGGCAAGGGACTGCAAATCAGATGGTACGTCGAAAAGCCAAGCGACACCGTATGGCGGCTTCCCTCCCCAAGAGAAAGACGGACGCATCCTCCAATACCATGACCATCACAGTGCCCAGTGTCACCGACGGGACCATCCGCGGGCCGTTTTCGCCCGGACGGTACAAGATTTACGAGAAGATGCTGTTCTATGTGGACAATAGCATCACGTCCCTGTTCAACAAGAGTAATGCCCAGGGCCGGTGGGGTTGGGACATTTTCGGCTTCACGACACAGCCCGGCGCGGGAGCTAAGACGGCTGACCAGCTCTCCGACGAGTCGAAGGCCATGGCTGACCGGTGCTGCATCGTTTCGTCGGTGTTCCAGGTGCGGCCTGGGCACAAAAGGGCATTGGCTCTGCTGGCCAAAATCCCGGAGATGTTGAACCGCGTGATGGGCCGAGACAAATACGGGTCATGGGTGTATTTACACTTGTGACCTATCGTTCTGTCGGTACGAGGTATTAGCCAGAGATAGAGATACATTGATATGATCTGAAGGCACCCCTGTGAGGGAAGTCAAGGGGGAATGTCGGGCGTATAAATCTAGCACTCGGTGATCTTTAATTCTTTATTATGCACTGCGATATCGCTAACTCTCATTCTCATTCACTCTTCATCGCTCCCGTTGCCCCCCTCATCATTCTCGCTGTTCTCTTCCCCAGCCTCTTCATCATCCTCCCATGGGCGTCTCTCCGCACGGGCCTCGGCTTCATTCATTGCCAAATGGACACGACGAGCTACTTCATCGCGCTCGGCGTCGGTGAGCTTCAATGGTGAATCGAAGCCATGATCTGTAATCCACGAGTGAATCGTCTCCACTTGCACTGTTCTAAAATGGGTTGCCAGAGGCATCAGCATGCACTGACGAATGTACTTGCTTGGGGTTGGGAAAGGCCTTTGCTCGTAGTACCGAGCCCAAACTTGCTGCCATCCCCGACGTCGAACATCCTTGATGCGGATCAGCGCCATGATGAAATGGAAGTACATGAACCGGCAGACAGGTCGTTTGTCGTTGCGGAATTGCAGCTCCTTTCCATCCAAATCTCTGCCAACGCCGCCCGCAGCACCAGCGTAAGATGTATTGTCAATGTCGGACGAGATGACGTCAATTTTCCAGCGTCTGACAGGGTTCTCCGTTGGATCAACCGGTACAATGAGAAGATGGTAGCTGTCAAACCACTCCTCAATCTTGTTTAACAAGAGAAGGGCGTTTCCAGCCCGTCGGAGAGATGGGTCTCGGCTACCGAACAAAATCTCACCGAAGTCGTCGCTGTCGAGAAAAAAAGGTACGACATGCGCGGCTTTGACCATCTGCGTCTCCCACCAAGTGCCCGTGGCGTGGCACCAAACCTCACCTTCGCGTCCCCTGTTCTTAAAACCATCTTCCATGCCCGTGCCGTCGGCTGTTTTGCCCACGTCGTCGCTACCGTAGTACTGCAGCGCCTCACAGCGAAAAGAAGAAGGCCGTTTCTTGGTCTTTTGAAGGCCATCGCACTTTTTGTATAGTGCCAACAGACACGCAGAGAAACTGCCATCACGTGGATCCAGCAACCGTACGACGGTAGGATCGTCGAAACGTGCCCTTTTCAGCTTTCGTTCCCACAACTCATCACCGACAGCAAGGTATCGGTCGTCGGTGTTTCGGAGTCGCTTTCGTACTATGTCGGGTTGAATTATGTTGGCTCGACCTTCCTCAAGAATTATCTCTCGCTCCCACTGACACTGCTCCCTTTTCTTGAGGGCTACCTCAACCCCTAATGACGCAAGCTCAAAGGCGGATTTGGGATCGGGCTCGTCTCGCTCTTCGTCCGGGTCGAGTTCGGGCTCCACTTTGCGGGAGAGGTCGTCGAAGGACTTTTGCAGCTCGTCAGAAACGCGTCGTGCTTCCTGATATTTGTTTCTCGCTCTCGATAGTGACAACGACACTGGCAGGGTAGCTGTTGACGGCGGGCGTGCGTCGGCGAATCGTCCTTCGAGGGATCCATGTTTTGCGACGGTGAAAATGCAAAAGTGTCGAGGCACTAACGCAGCCGAAGATCGAAATCAACGGTATCGAACATAGAAACACGTCGAGGAGACGAAGGCGATCAAGCCGCTGGTGTACAAAAGTCGTTAGTCGTCAGTAGGGCTGGGTTCTTGGACTGGAGTATATAAGAAGGGAGACCAGATCGAGCGCGACAGAGCACAAAGCAAATAACACGACGAGGAGACATGATGCAATAAGAGAAGGTAGACGAGGGCAAGGAAAGACCCTTGGAGTGTTACTAGTGAACAGGGGGCAAGTGAGATGAAGTAATCAAGGCTGGGTAGAAGGAACGGCCCGACAATAGAAAACTCCTTGAAGTGTCATAAAAGTCAATAAGTGGGAAGTGGAATAAAGTGATTAAAGGCACGTGGAAGAAACCCTCGGGAAAGGAAATTTCTTACCGGTGTGTATTACCTGGCGAGATAGACCCTGACGTTGCGAAACTATTACAACCGGAGAAGGCCATCAATAGCTCGGTATTGATAGTGGGCGGGGGTTAAACAGGGAAGAGGTAAGAGTAGGGTGAAGAAGCAAGAGTGAAATCGGTAGCTGAGGTTAATGCACTTGGGGAATGGTCCTCAGCGGACTAAGCCTACTATTTATATAGTGGGCTTTTACACATTGACCCCTTTGCTTGGGTATCCTAGTCCCACTCTTAAGAGGTTCTGATAGGTACTACGTCAGCGATATCAATGCTTGGTTAACCTAAGGTACATTGGTATCAGAACCCTGACTGGCTCGCAATCAGCCGCTGACTGACTGTAACCCT